GAGGGGGAGTGTAGAAAAGGATTAATTATGGAAAGGGGACAAGTCATAGTAATTAGTGATTATAATCCTGTAGTTTTTGGTAGGATAATTTTCTTCCTAACTTAGACGATTAGTTTCCTTTTTCTTATTCATCTTATGTATATATATTGGTTGTAATCAATACTTTTGATATATCGAAAAGTGAGAAAGATCCTCTCAATCGTGTTTCTTCAATAGTACCAAAGGACTTGTAGGAAGTTATGCTACTAGCACCTCACTGCTTTATCGCGGGTCAATTGGAGACAAGGAATTAGGGAAGCTTTCAATGAATTGAGAACAACGATTAAAGGCCTTTCTTCTCCTGTTTAATTTTGTAAAGCACCTAAACTTCCAACTTGCACAATTAATTGATGGATATTTTGGAGAAGAATTACAACAGTGTGTTCCCGTCCCCCTTCCTCTTCTTCCTTACAGTAAGCATATCCTCTCCTTACACAGTGTTCGTTTTGCTGCTAATTGATAGAATATGGATTCATTAGGAAAAAGAGAAAAATGAAAAGTACTCGAGTCGAAGGTAATTTTTACGTGGTATCTGAAACCAAAAAATATGAGTCTACATAAATAGAAGCACGTGCAGGATTCAGCAAAAAATCAGTAATTGGCAATTTCAAAAACAATTATGCATGTTGAAAGACTAATTATAAAAGTAACTTTCATACTATAACATTAAGGGCTATAATCATCGTTCGCAACAATTTTTTTACCCGTTTGCATCAAGGATAACAAGAATAATGTACATGTCAATTTCACACTATTTAATCAATTAAAAAACACTAACAGAAGCGAATATATCTCCTTGTGAAAAATAGAATACTCCTCTATAGAAAGAAGGAAAAAAGTTAAAGTCAGCCAAGTTCCTTTCGTTTTTTATTTTTATAAAATAAACTAAAAGTAAATCTGAATGAGAATGGACCTGGAGCATTTTGAAAGCATGCAACCGGATTTCAGAAGACCAATCTCTCTTAACTAAAAGAAAGGATGTATTTGCCAAGATATGGACATCCCCGGCTTTTATCTGCAACACAATAAGAGTTAACATATTAACAATGTGTTTGAAATTGGAAGGACTTGGATATTAAAATGCTTTAGACAGCAGTAATCAAATGAAAGAAAATCTTTGAATAGAAATTTGATTTTAAACTAATTATTTATGTGGCTGCAATGACCAAAAATAACATTAAGGCAAGAATTCCAGAATAAAAGTTAGCAACAGATGCATTCAACAACAGTGTACTTTAAAAAGCAGTATGGTGCAATGCTACGAAATCCTATTCCTCATGCATGGTAAGCATGTTTGAGGAAGCAACACCCAAAGTGCAGACCAGAAACTAGCAAATCAGCTACATCTAAGACTAGGTTTGGCTCAAGTTTATAAACGCTCAAAGCAACATTTTACCCACAGATTTCGAGGGACCAACAAGTACTGTCCACTTATCTACCCACCCATTTCTATCTATTTACAATTTAAACTATTTATAAACACTTCCCAAACATGTTTAGTAATTCACTTCACTAAGAAACTTAACAGATGCATTTGCATTTTACAGACTATCCAGAATACAACAATATTGGGAAGTCTTAGAAAATAAATGTAGCTTTGAATTGACCCAAGGTTTACTGCTTGCTTCCATGAACACCAAAATGAACCCACCCTGACAATACGGATATGGAAGCTATAGAAAGAAGCGAAAGAAGGACTTTCCATTAACCGAGCCCATCAGTAATAAGAATGGGAAATCAGAAATGACCATGATGTGACTTCCTAAGAGAAATTATATACTGAAGGAATTACAGGTCCTAACTCTACATGAAAAGGTGTAGATTAAGTTGCAGCAGTATAGTATTTTTCTCGAAAAGAGTTTAAGAACAAAAGTCAATATTTTGACAAGTTCTACAAATTTACATAAAGTTCTAAAGATGTCTACTATTCAGCGTATAAAAGTGAAATTAACTTACAATGTCCAGGATTTATGAATTTGAAGCATTGAAATCTCAAGCAAAAGATATGGAAGCTGAGAAAAATATTAAAATTAAATTCCAATACTTTATTACTAAGCCTAACATTAAGGCTGGTATCATAGCAGAAACCTCCCACAAACAAAAGAAAATAAAAGGCTTCTAAGACTTTGATCAAACCTTGTGAACTTTAATATCCAAGATTTATCAAAACGAAAAGAATAGATATCTTTGCATGCATATGAAAGAGTTTACATTTCAACAATTTTCACCCCAATGATCTCATGGTCATCAATAAACATTTGGTAACGAACCTTCCCCACCTCCCCCAATTATCAAATGAACACAGCTGAATCCAATAAAGTCCCGTTTCATACTTTTTTCAGCTGGGCAGCCAAATATCACAAGTAACTAAGAAAACAAGAGAAGGTTGGATAGATGTATCATCATCCCTAAAATTTTCATCTGGGGATTTTTCTTATTTATTTATTTTTTTCAAATTCATGTAACAGAGTAAACAATGAAATGCAAACAAAACTATGAACAGATAAAAAAACTTGAAGAAGTACTGTACAAAACCACAGTCCCCATATGCCCAGGTAATTGAAAGGATCAGCATTTAAACTTATACACCTTCGTCACCCACCATCCATCTATACTTTATTTCACCTTAAAACTTTTGAAAAGGAAAACAGCACAAATTGAAAACCACAGTTACCGAATTCAGGGGAAGTTTTTTTAAATTCCTGGCAGACAATAAACAATGAAATGCTAACAAGACCTTAAGTTGATTTAAAAAAAAAATAAAAATAAAAATAAAAATTGAAGAAATACTGTACAGAATCACAATCCCGCATGCCCGAGTAAATGAAAAGATCAGCTTCTAAACTTTCACACCGTGGTCACCAATAATCTATATATAATTATTTCACCTTAAAACTGTTAAAAGGAAAATAACACAAATTGCAACCGCAAAATGATATTAAAGACAGCAACTAAGATTACAAAAGAAAATAAAACATGATGAGCTTACAGATTCTAAGTAGGAATAGGCAACATTGCGAGCCTCTGGAGAGGACTTCCAGTCAAGGGCAGCGAGTATGGCTCGAGCCACGTTGTTTGCTATTCCACTTTCCTCCATTTTTCCCAAGTAATTTCAACTTCACCGAATGAAACAGGAAAAAGGGTTTCTCTAAATTCTGAGCAAACAAAAAAACCAGACGATACTTCTTGAAGAAGAAGAAAGGAGAATTCAGACAGAAGCCACTGAGTGAATATAAAGAGAAATTAGAGGGAGGAGAGGACGGCCATACTTTCCCTTTTAAAATTAAGCCCGTTTGCCCTGTTTCGTAGAAATGAAACTGAGTGGAAAAGTGTTTTTATGTTAAAAAAAGAAAAAGAAAGTATAATATTATTTTATGGAAAATTGTATGATTAAAAATAGATGAGAGAAAAATGATATAATGGAATGAAAATTAATAGGGGCTAAACGGGGGCTAAAACGATATCGAATTATTTGCCTTTTTTGTGAGTGCAGAGCATGTGTGATTAAAAAATATAAAATATTAAATTTTATGAGTAAAATTATTTTATTGAAAAATGTAATATTGGAAATGATTTTGGAATAAAATGAATTTTTGGAAAATGGGGATCAAATTGGGACGCGCTTAATATTTTTGCAATTGTGTATTAATATCAATGTCAATCTTTCTGGTTAATTTCATCGACACTCATTTTAAATTTGAACAAAATTCCAATTGAAATTAATTTTAGAGCTCGATGGATTTTTTAGAATAGATTTTGTGATAATTATAATATATATCCCTATTAAATATATTAAAATTTTAAAAATTTACTATTTTCATTCGGGTCACATTTCAATATTGCTCTTGTTACTCGTTTAAGCCATATTTTTATGAAATTCTTATAATAAGAATGAATCTTTGAATAGTGTATTGATAGGAAATGTGTGATTAAAAAAGAGGAAAAAGTTTTGAATTTGCGTGTGATATTATTGTATTGAAAAATGTGTAGTTAAAATGATGTTAAAACACTGTTTAAAAATATATTTTTTTCAAAGAATGAGAATAAAAAAATGAATGTATTTTTAAATTTATATGCCTTTTTTGATTCTCATTCATCCACATAAAATGAACTTCTAAAAGAATGGGATAAGGCTTATTTTGTGTTTTTTTGTTATTTTAGTTTTATCGTTATGTTAGGTAATTTGTTGTCAAACGACCTCCCCGATCTATGATGCTATTCGATTTTAATTTTCAGTCGGCTTAACCAAATGGCTAAACGAAAATTGTAACGTCACAATCGAGACAACACGACCCAAAGATTAATTGGGTCATTTGAAGTAATAAAAATATTTTAGTATTATTTATGGCCCAACCCACTTTCTTGGATGGCCAAAAATGAGAGAGAATTTACTTGGCAGCCCATTTGTCTACTTTTGGACCTTTACTTGACCCAACTACTAACCTAGTTCTACTTACCTTATTTGGGCTACTTGGCTTAATATTGGGTCTCTCTTCTTAATTGCAAGAAACTGTCCCGCCTCTTTCACTTTGTGAACTCTTAGCCTCTGTTATTTTTTCTACTTCTCTGCCTCCTTTCGATCTCTAACTTTTGTCGTGATTATATATGAGATATTGTATATCATTGTGGTCTTCTAAGTGAACTATTTCTTTGGCTACAGAAAGTGGAAGCTTGGTTTTATCTTGGGTCGTTTGTTGTCGGGTTGTGGTGTATTGATTGGAATAAACTGGGCTTGAGCCAACCTTGGTGATCATTATACACTTTACACGTTCAATGATAATTTGAATGCAATCATTATGAGAATATGAAAAGCATTAACAGTTACCCAAGTATATGAAGAGATGAGGATTTAGACTTATCATGAACAAAATTACGAATTTGATGCTTTTACTATTTAGCATTAATGAATGTATTTGTTGATCGAAGAGTGAAGAGACCAGTTAATTTATATGCCACCAAATGCTTGTTGATCCTTGTGCAATCGCACTCCTCGTCCCAGCCCAAAAAACAGATCAAAAAAGGCTGACGTGGACTTTTAACCAAATAAAACAAATGCATTTTTGCCCAGCACACACGCACAGTCTCTCTCTCTCTCTCCACGAGCCAAAACCAAAACGGAAGCCCCAAATTCCAAATCCTAAGCATAACTCCCCATCTCCGGTCGCGTTCCCAGCCGCAGTAATGACACGCCCATCTTTGACAAACGTTTCATTGTGGGTCAACCTACCATATCCAGTTGTTGTCAAAGCCCTCAGGCTCTCCAACCGTCGACGTGTTCTCTGTATCGGCGTCCAACGAAATAAGTCAATCTTTTTCCAGTGTTGCTCAGGTAGTATGCTATTTATTTCTTCATAAAGTGATTTTTCTTGTAGCTGTCATGCGTTTAGTTGGGGTTTTCGACGGATTAGTAGGGGGTATTTAGTATTTAATCAATTTCGAAACTATATGAATTGGTGCGTTATTAACTACATTGAATTGTGTCTAAATTTCGAACTATATTGAATATTGAATTGGTGGATTGGTGACTTCATTTTCTTGTTGGTGGTTGACATGAAGTATTCGACAGATTTCAGTGGGGGGTTTTATTGTGTTTAATAAGCTGCGATTAATTGTATTATTAAATTTTTCTCTTTTTTATTACGATTTGGAGTGGAGCTTAGATTTTTAAGTGATAACTACTCATCAACATTGAAGCCTCTTGTAGTTTATGCATATGAGCAAGTCCCCATTTGATACTTCAGGAGAAAACAGAGGTAGCATGATAATTTGTTCTGTGTAATATAAGGGAGGTAAATTTATTTAAGAGGAAATCATAAGCCATTGTTAACTGTTTTGAGGTCTCAATTTTAATTTTGATGTTCTTTGACACGACAAGCCAAATTATTACGTTTCTTGTGGACGATGTTATTTACCTGAAATATATATTTGATTTGTGTACATAATTCAGCTAAATTTGAAATGAAGATGGTAAGCTTGAACCCAATTCCTTCCCCATAATCTTGCTTTATCCTAAGTAGAAACCTTTTAGATTGTATTTGTACATTTTTCTCTGACTTTATCTAGTCGAATAAGATTACTGACTTCATCTTTGTTGTTGGTGGTGGATTCCATGTTAGTATGTCCATTAGGAACTCTGGAGTCTTGTCATAGTTGTAGAGCTAAAGATCACTTCTTTGCTGAGTATAGAAGGGAACGCCCTTGCACACTATGTAAGCATGGATTCGAAAAATATTTTGTTGTGAAAAAGGAGACTAAAAAAAATGGGAAATTATTTTTTTACTGCAGTAACAATTGTGGATTTTAGGGGTGGATTGTAAATGAAAAATCAAGCGATCCATCGATGAACCCTGCGAAGAATGAAACAGTTGAAGAAATGTCCCATTCGTTCCAATCTCAAGTTTGAATAAGTGACGATAAATAGCTGCAGATTTCAATGAATGTGACAGTCCAAGCTGAATAAGTAAGCGTGCAAGGGAATCCGAAAGGGGAGCAGCCTGCTTGATCAGTAGATAATGATCGAATAGGTTTTTCAGAAATTTTTGTATGTATGTGACTGAGTTATGTACGAACTCTTGTAATAAAAAGGTCTTTACGAAATCTTACAACTGCATTTGATTATTTAACACATTGTCTTTGTCTAGTATGAATATTTTTTGCAGTAGAATTAACATGAGCATTGGTATTAGCTTGTCTTTGAGCTGGTTGAGGTATTAGCTTGTCTTTGATATGGTTTAGAAACTAGCATCCACAATAGACATTTCAGGATTATCATCAAAGAAAATGGTTGGGTATTAAAATCCAATAGTCTCTTTTCTCTTGAAGTATGTTTCTACTAAAATGCCCATGTACTCACACATTGTCATAAAAATCGAGAATTTAATTAAAAGCAAAATTTAAAATAAGGCTAGTAGAATACAGGAATGTTCACAGATCTTTTTAATTTGTTTAAATGGATCTCTGTGAATACATACCAAGGCAATTTTGTTTATCAATAGTAACGTGCTTTGAGCAAATCAGATGAGTCAAAATCAAAACGAAAGCAAGACTATTTTGTTTATTCCGCAACTAATACAATAATGCTCATTCCGGCAGTTCAGATGTTTCCAAATCTCGCCCATCATCTTTAGGGAATTAGTTTGCGAGTTTTCTTTTGCCTTTGAAAGAAAAAAAATATTACTATATTACCACCTAGTTTTCATAGAAAAGAAATTCTTTTTTCTCTGTATATACACGAAAGCGACACCAGTAGAAATAAAAACTAAGATTTTGCCATCATCATGCATATGCTTCAACCTGTATCTGAATTCTTTTGCATCACATCATCACCCGAGAGAAAGAATAAGAACAAAATCGCAAAAAAAAATAAAATAAAATAAAAAAATAATAATAATAATAAAAATACTTAAGTGCACAGATACACACCCTCAATGCAGACACATAGAAAACAAACATTAACAAAAAGCCTTCTTCTAATAGAAAGTCATCATGCAATTACCAAACGTCGAAGAGAAGAGTTACAAATTTATTTGATGTCTCTCAATACAGAAATTAATACACATATGGTTCTGAATATTTCAAGATATTTAAAATGGCTAATACTAATGCATAAACATAACTACTTCCTGCAAACCACAATCAAATGTAATAACTTCATGGAAGAGTTACAAATGGAATAACCACCATCAAATGCCTCGGTCATCTTCATCCGGTAAGCTTGGATAGTATAACGGCACATATTGACCTACATTAACATACAATGTAAATGGTTAATGGCGCAATCATGATTAAATGAAGTTCTAATTCATATATAAGAGAAATCTTTATACCTTGCGAAATATACATAAAGTTCGCTGACGACGGATTGATCAAATTGTACTTTGTGAGACATGTTGTGAGAGGGAGAATGGTGTGGGGATGAAAAACTGTGAAAGTGAGAATGGCATTGGTGTGAACATGGAATATTGTTTCTAGAGGGGTGTTTTATGTTGACGCTCACAGTATTTGATAAATCAATGCATTGAGTGTTAACACACATAGTATTTTGTGAAATGAGATTACTTCCTGCGCTCGATTTTGTGGTCGTAAGCTCTTTACATAGAAATTTTATCCACTCCATGATTGAACTTGAACACATTTCATCATTTGCTGAGAGGTTTGCCACCTACACAAAATTGTTAGACATTCATACTCAATTATGCAAGAGTGCTAACTAACCCGTCATAGTTTATCGTGACCCTCGTGTGTGTTCTTTGAACATCTCTCCTTTACCTTCGCAGTATGTACCTTTCTGGAATATGTGTCACGTCATTCCATACTAGCACTATGATCGCATGTCTACAAGTATTCCCCAAAACTCAAACAAATAACAGGTGCAAACAATATCACATTTATTTCTCGCGAATGACACGATAAATGTCTTTCTCTTTCTAGAACCCTCGTACATTACTGTCTCTCTTACTTTATAGGTCGCACAAAAACATTCGTCCGAAGTAGACAACTCGTCGCAGTACACCTTTCCTGTGAAGTCTTCTTGAACTTCATGAAATTTCGAAATGATGTAAACTGATTGAAATTATTGCTCCATTTCAAATTGTGTTGTACATGGCATCATTTGTGAAAAGGACCTGAAATCAGCTTGGACCTCTTTCTCAACCTTATTTTTAAATGAACATAGCCATTGAAGAACGTATTCATACTCTCACTTCTCTGTGTAGTTAACATCCCAGCCCAAAAAGTGATTTTCAAGAAGCAAGGAACCCAACATCCTTTATTCTCGTACAATCCCGATAGCCATCATTCTCATGCAATCTATACATATCAATCATTATTCTCCAATCATCTTTGAATTCTTCACTGGACTGTAAATCATATACTATCGAATGCTTATCCATGTGGTAGCCAAAATTCTCCGACAACTTCTTCAAAATGTGGTACAAACATCATCTATGTTTGGTATTTGGAAATACAATCTAAATTACATATTGCATTGCCCTGTCTTGATCGATAATTATACCATGTGGAGTTTGACTGTGCATGCACTGAAACCATGTTTTGAACAACCATACAAAAGTATTTGTATCTTCATTCGACACCAAACCACAACCCAGCACTATCGATTGTTCGTGATGATTTACACTAACAAAAAGAGCGAACAACATGTTGTACTTATTAGGAAGATAAGTAGTATCAAATGAAACAACATCACCAAACTCCTTGTATGCTTACCTATACTGATTATCTGCTAAACACACTTCTCAACCACGACTCCTCGTCCAAATCAATATTAAAATAAAATCCCGAATATTGTGCTTGCATTTTGGAAAAGTAGGATTGAATTGCTGCAACATCTTCTCTAAATTCGTAATCGCCTCACGCGTTCTACATAGTTCCAATAATAACTTTCAATACAAGTCATGTTCTCATATCCAATTGCTTCTACAACTACGGAGTTGTAACTTTTATGCAGCGCAATTCTTGCCAAATCATTCACCCGAAGCATTCATTTCACAGCTGCACTCAATTGTCTATTGCATCGATATAACTGGGATTTAGAAGGACTTGTATCATGATTGTGTTTGAGGTTTACTGCAAATTCTCTAGTTTTCTAGAACATTGCAAGATGCATATATTGTAGCTTTACAACCCATCTTCACTATTGGATGCGGCTTCAAAGAATCGCTACTATTATCGATGCTTCCACCTTCACGGCTACATGTCAACGTCAAATATCTTAAAACTCCATCCTCCCCCTTTTTCAAACTCCTTTTCTTAACTAGAAAACCTATTGTACAAGCATATTTTTTGTAGAAATAATACATATCTTGTTCATTTTTGAATAATATTCCCACTTCGTGTACAATTACACCATCCCCTTAATGTTTCACCACCAACTTCGCTCACGAACTCCGTAACATTCTCATTCTCTAATGGCTCCAAAACATCGTCGTGCTTGTCTTCAACATCGTTCATACTCTATCTTACTGCAAAAAAACAAAAAAAAAAAAAAAAAACAAAAACAAAAAAAAAAAATTGGTCATGTTCATTTCATTATATTATATTGCAAAGAAAATTACAAGTCCAAGCACAAGTTAATACGGTAGCAGAATTACAACCCTATTGCAAAAGTGATACTGTAAGGAAAAGTATCAAGGGACCCATTAATTATAGCTAGGCTTCAGTAATCATGTTTAAGTAAATACAGTGTTTAAGATGGCACCGGCCATGGCCGGCCTCTTCAATAGTAAATTTTCACTAAAATGTCATTTTTAAAATTGGACTCTATGAAATCACTACTTGCTATAGAGAAATTTGAGTTTATTTTAAGCAAAATCTTTTAAAGCTTTTCTTACAGAGATCAAATAATTCCCAAAAAAAAAAAAATGAATACATAAACTAAAAAAAAAAACTACTTGTCGGTACCTTCAAATTTCTGGTATCGTCAAAATGGTTGTAATTGCAAAAATTTTCCCCAATGTCGATGCTCAAAGAAAGTGAAGTGGGAGTGCTGCTGTGTTTTGGGTTTCCCACGACGTTACCAGAGTTCAAACCTACTTGTCGGCACCTTCAAATTTTCGATTATTGTCAAAATGGTTGTAATTGCAAAAATTTTCCCCAACGTCGGTGCTCTAAGAAAGAGGAATGGGAGTGCTATAGTCTTTTATTTGTTTCCTTTCCTCCAAATTTCATGGACATGTCACTTTTTTGAAACCCTGTTTTCTAATCTGTTTTTGTGCCTGTCCAACTAGCATTATTTGATCCTTGTGATGGATGAAAATTTCTCCCTTATCTCTTCTAACATCTTTCCAACGTTGTCTCTTCCATTGTTTACTAAATTATGTTCATTGGAGTTCTAATTATTGAATTCGAATGGTTTTTTTTTTTTTTTCATTGTCAGGTAGGAAGAAGGAAAAAAGGACTTAAATCATAGTCTAATTGATTTTATAGGCTTATTTGTCATTTATTAGAATTTCATACATAGACAAAATTTCGAATCAAATCATTTTTTCTCGAGCAGTACGAGGACAAAACTTTCTATACATTTCTACATCTATCTCAATGAGCCATCTCTCAAATCGTTGCAATTGATGTTCAATCCCGAAGAGAAGGAAAAGATCTTCGAAAAGTGGGTTTTTATGATCCATTGAAGTATCAAACTTATTTAAATATTCCTACTATTCTATATTTCCTTGAAAAGAGTGCTCAACCTATAGGAACTATTCGAGATATTTTAAAGAATGCAGAAATTTTTAAGGAACTTCGACCTAATCAAAAAAAAATTCAATTAAAAAAATATTTAGGGGTAGTGATTTGTATATAACTTTGTATAACTTTTCTCTACTTTTTTTTTTATTTCCCCATTAATCCTGCTTTATTCGTATCTATTTCTCATTGCTGGCGACCTGGTTGAATTAGGAGTAGTAGTAGGTATTATTATAGAGCAATCGATTGGAGAATCGAGTTTTTCTATCAATGGATAGAATGGAAAGACGAGTACAAGTTTTTTATTATTCGTCTATAAATATCCAAATTTTGATACCCAAGACCCCATAGGATCAAATCAAATCTTTTTTGAACTTCTATACGTGTAATTCCCTTAACACCTTTTTTTAATAATATGTGATAAAGAATTCACATGTATATTATTTTATTAAGAAATATATTTTTAATAATAAGCTATTTTTCTTTTTCTTCTTTTTAACCACACATTCTTTTTCTATTTCTGTCAACTACACATTTTTCAAAAAATTGTTATTCCAAAGTACATTTTCCCCTTATATTAGTTGAGCCAAAACATGGGCTAAATTAAAACAAAAAAAAAAAGATTATTAAATAATTTTTACAAAACAAGAACTTTAATTAAAATTCAAATTCACATAATTGCATATAAAATTACTCCAATATTTTCTTGAAAAAAGATGAAAAGACATAGATATAGGACCTTTTTTCTTGAACATATAACAAGTCAAACTATTGAGAAGTTATTTAGCATCTGTTTAGTAACTATTCTTTCAAAACATTTTTTTAATACTTATTTTTAACGACATATTTTATAATAAAATATTTTTCACGTAAATCCAAAACTTGTCCGTGTTTTTAACCCCTCATCATCTAAAAAAATTATGGTACACTTGGTTTGTTGTTTTCAAATCATTTTCAATTTTACAAAATAATGAAAACCTGTTTGATCTCTTATTTCTAAAAATGCATTTTCGAAAATAATATCAAAATTATAAATAAAACTCAAAACACATTTTTGATGTTTTAAATACTTTCATTGAAAATTTTAAAAATACTCAAAAGATGGAAAACAAGTATTAAAATAAAATTTAAAAAATTAAAATTTTTACAAAACAAAATATAAATTCTAACAAATAATTTTTTTGAAAACTAAAATTCAAAAAATAAAAATCGATAAATTAAAAAACATAAAAATAAAAATATTGAGAAAATTAAATCTAAAATTCTAAAAATTTATAAAAAAAATAAAAAATAAAAATTGTCCAAGCTCTTAATGATTATTTACATAAAATTTCTAAAAAATGAATGCAAACAAAAATATTTTTAGTCCACGTCAACAAAATTTATTTTTATTTCCTATATTTTAAAATCAATTTATTATTTTAATTTTAATTTTGTAGTATATATGAAAACCTTGATCCAAGACCAAGTGCATGTCGCAATCCGTAGAAGTCACTTAAAAAAAATGTAAAATTTACCAACTTTAAAATGTATATATTACTTAATCAACCTTGAAATTAGATGTGCTACTTAAATTGACAAATTAAATGAGGGGTAAAATAATAAATTTATATTTTCTATAATAAATCAATTAAATAAAAATAGAAAATGAACTATTCATCTTCTCCTACTCCCTATCCCCTCATCCCCACCAGCCCCCCAAAAGCGAAAACCAAAAAACTTGTCACCTTCGCCACTACATGTACCGCATGATAAGTGTATTTCGTACACTTATTTAAGCCATCAAATTATAATATTTGTTGGATATTTTGATGAATTATAGTTTAACTCTGTGTATTGTGTTGTCAAGTACAAATCGGACATAAATGGCGAAATTAGAGAAAAAGGACTGAAAAGGGACTCAATTACAAGAAATTTAAAGTTTAGGGACTAAAATACAATTTATCAAAAAGATGATGATTCAAGAGTTCTAAGAGACAATTTGATGAGAATAGAAGGCAATAGGATGAAAAGGAACGAAGAACTAAAAAAGCATACATGGAAAAGTTCAAAGATCTATTTGCACAATTGGTCCCAAAAGCTAAAGTCATATATATGTGCATGCAAGCATTTTGTATACACGGCCATCAATAAGCTGAATTGGAGTATGTGCGCTACTATGCCATAGGTACGTATGGCCTTTCGGCTGAGAAAGATTTTCTTTCCTTTTTCTTGCTTTGACTCTTTATGATATGATATGTTACACCTTTCTAACATACAAAGAGCTATCCATAACATAATTGGATATTATTATCACATATTTTATCATTGAAGTGACGTCAAACAAGAGCTTTAGAGATAATTAACACAAGGAGTTGAAGATTCAAGGCACAAATCGAAGGAAAAGTGCAAAAAAATTGATTTCTCAAACTTCCACATCCATGCTTTGAATTGAGGATGTCTTTTCTTAACTTCTTGTGGAATTTAGAAACAATTATGTTTGCCTAAACTTCTCTTTTATGTTTGATGAATAAAATTCTCTTGTGTATTGGATAAATGATGAACATTTTGAGTTATATTTCTAATTCAAGACTTATCGTATTTTAATTATTTTTTGTATTTACAATTAAGCATAAATGAATGTTTTGTTATTTGATTGCTTAGCAACCAATTAGATAACTTATTGCTTATTCATGGTGTTGGAAGACTCAAAATAAGTATAATATTTCATATTTGACACGTCGGCATTAGGTATTAGGAATAATATTTAGGGTGTGTGCAATCGTGTATGATAATCACGTGATTGAATAATTACATTGTATATGAATTTGGATTTGAAATACGGTCGGGTCATGCTAATGATATGTTTAATGTATTTTTAAAAAGAATATTAGATATTAGTGGATTATTGATTGTCATGAATACTCGAATAACACTAACTTACACATAAGTCGAGAATTTGAAATAGAAACAAATAGGTGGATTTTGAAATTCAATACATTCATCTCATTATATTATAAAAACAATCTTTTACCGTGTTCTTAGTTTAGTTTCGAATAATTACAAAACAACCAACTCTTTTGTGTCACGTAGATCGAATTTGGTAGAAATTGGTTCTCTATAATTAACATCTATCCCTCATGAGATGATAATGCTACTCATCACATTATTATTTGCCAATGAACTCCCTACGCTTGCTGATTTTTTCGAACAAGTTTTTGGCAAGTTTGCGGAGAATAATTTTGTTTAATTATAGTTTATTAGTTTATATTAGACTTGATTTTCCTTTATTACATGCTATTCATCACTTTGCCTAAATTCTTTTGTGTTTTTTTTTGTAAGACTCAAGCAATCACCAATTTTATGCAAGATTCTGAAGAGGTTGAGCTCACTCCATTAGATCTTAAGATCGAAAGAACATTCAAACAATTCAAAAAAGAACAAAAAATAGCAAGGAACATTGTTGAAAATTAAAGTCAAAACCAAAATCGGGTTTAGGATCCACTTTAGTTACCACAAATAGTTCAGCAAAGGGTTGTCGCCAATGAAGGCCCTATATTAGTTGAAGATTATGTGAATCCTATGCCTGAATCCATGACATTCACATTCGACTAGATGTCATCAATCTCTATCAAAATCATTAAGACATCAAATGCTTTGGAAATTCTTCAAAAAAATCTACATGAGCATATACGAGCTTTTCTGATGTTGTGTAAAATCATTAGCCATGGAGAGATGTTGGCAGATGCCTTTCGAATGTATTTATTCCCTCACACCTTAAAGGATGGTACAAGAGAATGGCTTTATTCCTTAGCTATCGGGAATATTATGTCATGTAATGATATGGTAAAGAAATTTAGACGAAGTTCTTTTCACCATCTCAAGTTCATAAAATTCTGAATGAAGTCCATGTTTTCAAGTAGAAGGACCTCGAGAGCTATCCAAAGGCATGGGAGAAGTTCAAGGACTTATTTAAAGAGTCTCCAAATCTTGATATTCATAAGCAGGTGAAGGTATATATCTTCTACTATGGACTACGACCAGGACATCATAATATGGCAGATGCTTCATCAAGAAGTTCAATGATAAAGATGGACATTGATGATGCCCACGAGCTATATAAGAGGATTGTTGCAAATCAAGCTAATTAGTTGACCGACAAGGACTTTTCTAATAAATCGGTTAGTATTCATAATGTTGAGGCAATGACAACATTGGCAACACAGATAAAGGTGGTAACAAAGAAGCTAGACAACTTGACTCCGTCTATGAATATGGTACACCAGCTATAACTAGTTTGCATAGGTTGTAGGATAGATCATACTACTATAAGTCATCTACTAGCTTCCATTCATATAGTTCAGTCTGCAATAGTCAGCGACGTACATAATTCATAAAAACAGCAGAACAATCCATACTTCAACACGTATAATCCAGTTTAGAAATATCATCCTAACTTCTCATGTGCTAATAATTAGGTCAAGAAAATTAAGTTTAGGGTAACCCACCAGATTTTCATCAGCAACAAGAGAAGAGGTTATCTTTGGATGATCTACTTGTCAAATACATCATAAAGACTGAGACTGAGATAAATACATCATATAGACTGAGACTGA